AATTTCACTGATCCCTTAAACCATGAAATGCCTGAGTAAACGGTAAATAGATCACCATGAGGAAATCCCACCCCCCTACCGCCTTCCCAGCCTGCCCTGCCCGTGCTGGACTCAGGAACTGTTTCTAGGCCACATTGCTGAATACTTCTTTGTTGTTGCTTTGCTCTGGCTTAATGAGCCCGATTCTCTGGGCCAACGACTACCTTGCCTACCAGCCCCATAAACAACTTCGGTGGTATTGTTATGGAAAAGGCGGCCGGGCGGCCTGGCGGTGAGTGCCTGCGGTGGAGTGTCATCTCCCGCGGAAATGTACGGCCCATTCAGCTCGCAGGCCTCCAAGAGCCAGAAGCACCGGGCGGTTCCTCCTGTCCAGAAGTGGAGGTGCAGCCTGGGCCACGGGCGGCAGCCACATCTGCCTAAGCAGCGTGGGAACGGCTCCCGTGCATCGCAGACGCTCCAGGAGTTTAATCACGGGAGGCAGGGCTCGCTGCGAGAAGCCGGCGGAGCAGCAAGGCTGCGCTGTGCTGGGCTGCGGGCCCACGAGCTCTGCGGACTCGATGTGGGGAGATGTGTGCCCGCTGATCGGGGGGATCCTCCCAAGCCGAGCTAAGCACCTGCTGGATCCTTGCTGCCACGTGCCCTGACCGGGAACCGAACTGGTGACCTCCTGGTGCATGGCTGACGCACAACCAGCTGAGCCACCGGCTGGACGGCGCTCCCACTTCCGACTGTGCTCCCCAGAGGGACTGGTCATCCACAGCGACTTCTGCTCAGCTCTCAGCAGGGGGTGGCATTTGTCAGGTGTGGTGTATGGGGGAGGGGGAAGGGGCTCCCCCTCATAGCCTTAAGGACACCACCCCCTCTATTAGGAGGCCCGAGGGCCTCTACGCACGAAGTCTGTGCTGACTTTCTGTGACCTTGTTTAATCAGAAGCTTCATTATCACGGGAGCGGGGAGGGGTGTCTGTATTTCTGTGAATTGGGGATTGTCTGAGGTTCCTCCATCTGCAGCTGCATGGCATGCACAGGGGCATCCGTACCTGGCCCCACACCCACCTGCGGCCAGAGGACGCCCTGGCACTGGAACGTCCAGACGCGGGCTGTTCCTTCACGTCGGTTTCTCCAGAAGCACCTGCTGCTGTGGTTCAAAACCTTAAAAAAACCCCCAAAACCCAACCACTCCACCCCATTCTGCCTGGCCAGTGTGGCTCAGTGGTTGAGCATTGACCTATGAACCAAGAGGTCAAGGTTAGATTCCAGTCAGGGCACATGCCCAGGTTGTGGGCTCCATCCCCAGTAGGGGGTGTGCAGGAGGCAGTGGATTGATGATTCTCTTCATTGATGTTTCTATCTCTCTCTCCCTCTCCCTTTCCCTCTGAAATCAATAAAAATATATTTTAAAAACGCATTCCATTCAGTATTGAATACAGTTTCAATCAAGGCTGTAGTGAAAGTAGGTAAAATCAGCACCATCGACAAGAACAACGACAACAATGCCAGGGACGGAGGGTGGAGGAAGGAGGGGCGGCAGACGTCGCCAGAGCGGCTTTTTAACTCTCCTACCGATCCAAGGAACTGGCTATGCTTCTGCATAGTTAAGAGCTATTCCCGAGGTGACCGAGGAGGAAACCTGTTTTTCTTCTCTCCAGGTAGGCGGAGGAAAAGCACTTACCCTGCTGCAAAGGACAGGCAACATCCCCGGCGGCCTCCAGGGGGCGCTGGTGGGCTCCTCCTGCGCCTGAGGAGAGAGCCCTCAAAGGCGTCTCAGTAGCGGCTCCTCTGCAGGGAGCTGATCAGATAATGACCACCTGGGAGAGCCAGCTGACTCCCCAAGCTGCTCACGAGCCCCAGGGCTCTGCAGCCTTCCCGGCCCCACAGGCAGCTTCACTAACAAGTTTAACTGGTCCGGCTGAGCACTGTCCTTGTGCAGGGAGCAGTGTGTATGTGTGTGTGTGTGTGTGTGTGTGCGTGTGCGCGTGTGTGCGCGCATTCCTATAGAGCAGTGGTTCTCAACCTTCCTAATGCAGTTCCTCATGTTGCGATGACCCCCAACCATAACAGTATTTTCGTTGCTATTTCATAACTGTCATGTTGCTACTGTTATGAATCGTCATGTAAATATGATATGCAGGATGTATTTTCATTGTTACAAATTGAACATAATTAAAGCATAGTGATTAATCACAAAAACAATATGTGATTATAGATGTGTTTTCCGATGGTCTTAGGCGACCCCTGTGAAAGGGTCGTTCGACTCCCAAAGGGGTCGCGACCCACAGGTTGAGAACCACTGCTATAGAGCTTGCTAGATCGTTCATACTAAGCTTCGTAGGCAGACAGCCAGAATGCTTTGGCCCTAATCAATAACATTAATAGGCAATTTTAAAAGAGTTCATTATGTTGACTTGTAATTCGTTACATCCAAGTATAAGATTATTACACGATATATAAGGTGTCCCCCCAAAATGTATACACCCTTTAACAGCTGATAGCTGTAGATTCTATTACATTTTGAAAATGAAATGTAGTTTAATACACACTGCCTTTATAATGTGTACACAGTTTTTGAGGGGACACCTTGTATTTTATGCACTACTCACTTAACTGCTTTAATTATAATTTTGGTTAACATTTCTACAGTAACAAAAGGAAAATATCACATGTAACTAGTACATTCTACCCACAGTCCATCTCTGGGTGCTCCCAGTGTCAGCACGTGGGACTTGGTGTCAGCGGGACCAGGTTTGGGCAGGGCACCTGGACTCTCACGTTCTCGTGCGGCTGGACCAGACCCTCCTGGGATGAGGCCCACGGTGGGCTTTCCCCAGGCACTCGTGGGACCTGGGGCCAGGGAATGGCAAAGGCCCACATACTGTGCGTCTAAACTTGTGAAGTTATCAATGGAGCTAACAAGCCGTTCAATAACACATGCTCGCTTCTACCTTGACAAATAAACTTTCTTTTTAAAAAATTTATTTTTATTGACTTCAGAGAAGGGAGAGGGAGACTGAAACAGTAATGATGAGAGAGCATCATTGATTGGCTGCCTCCTGCATGCCGCACACTGGGGATGGAGCCCACAACCCGGGCCTGTGCCTTGACCAGGAATCTAACCGTGACCTCCTGGTTCATAGGTCAACGCTCAACCACTGAGCCACACGGGCCAAGCTGAAGTTTTTTTTTTTTTTTTAATTTATTTATTGCTGTTAGAGAGGAAAGGAGAGAGAGCAGCTTTTGTTTGTTGTTCCACTTGTTGGTGCCGTCGTTGGTGACTCCTTCTGGGCAGTGAGGCAGGTGTGGGAGGGGCTGCCTTGCTGAAGGTAAGACATCAATTTATTTTTGCTTCTGCTGTTTACCACACCATATTCTTTTGATCTCCCAATGTTTCCAAATGATGACAATACCCAATCACAGCTGACGGTGATTAGATTTTCATTTACTGCTCACCCTGTATCCAAGCCAACTGAGTGAGAATGTCCTCACAAATCTGTTTTGTAGTCTGATTTCCCAAGCCCCAAAGGACCCAGCTCCCCTTGAATCTCAGACACTGAGTTAACGCTGTATGAACTCACTGAGTGTTTCTGTTTCAATTAGCATTCTTACGGCGCCATTCAGTCTTGCAAATTGCTGCCAGCGGGGATCTCCAGCATATCAGTCACAGGGCGTGAGTTCCACTGCGGCTCCTGGGTGGGGCTGCAGCTGCTGTCACCCGCAGCCCCCCATCGGGGAGACTCCAGGGTGGCGGGGTGGCGGTGGGGACGCCTCTGCTGGCCAAGCACACCAAGGCTGCGCCAGCCCCCGTTGGAGGAAGTGGGTGGTGTATTAGCCCTGCATATAAATCACCAACAAGTGGAAATTGACTCCAACATCACAACATGTACTACAGACTTTACCGTTTTGCCAGTTGTCCCTCTAATACCTTTTACACATAAGAAAAACCTTTAAAAATTGTTTTTTATTAATTTTTAGAGAGAGGAAGGGATAGGGCTAGAGAGCTAGAAACATGGATGAGCTGCCTCCTGCTGGAGAGCAAGCCTGCAACTAGGGCATGTGCCCTGACTGGAACTGGACTGGCGACCTCTTGGTTCATGGGTCAAAGTTTAACCACTGAGCCACACCAGCCGGGCGAAACCCTTTTCTCTTGGTCCAGGATCCAGTCGCAGGTCGCAGGTGTGGAGCCTCTTCAGCCAGGAACGTAGCTGCTTCTGCTTTTCCCTGGCCTGGACTTAGGACGAAGGCCAGTTGTTTCTAGCCTGTACCTGCCCTGGCGTGGGCTGCTGTTCCCTTCTGTTCGCATTAACGTTTTGGGGAGGAATCCCCGAAAGCGATGCTTCCTCCGCCCGCCTCACCGCATCTCATCAGGAGGCACAGAGCACCTGTCTCACAGCCGACAACCCTGGAAAGGCACTGTGAGTAGGGAAACCGGAAACCGTGTGATTGTTAGTTCTGTGAGGTCACGATGGAATGTGGTTACACCTTAGAAAAAGGCACTTGTCCGTGAACGATGTGGATATATTGCAGGGAAAGTGAACTTATTTGGCTTCACATCCATTTCTAGGTAGTTTGCAACTCCAGGCAGAAGGCATAACGGTGACATGGTCACTCTTGGCTGTTCGGAAACAGTGCCCACCTGTGCGCCACCCGCGTGGCCCGGCTCCTTGCCTCCGTGGCTCCCCGTCGGGCCTCCGCCCTCCAGGTTGCCCAGCGCAGGCATGAAGCATGTGTGGTCAAAACTGCGACTTCCTGGACAAAGGGAGAGGGGTGGGGGTGGAATTGGGGGGAAGGTGCTGAAGACACTGGCTGAAACCCGGCTTATAAATAATCTGAACATTTCCTTTATTTTTAAAATATATTTTTATTGATTTCAGAGAAGGGAGAGGGAGAGACAGAAACATCCATGATGAGAATCACTGATTGGCTGCCTCCTGCACACCCCCTACTGGAGAGCAAGCCCGCCAGCCCACAAGCCAGGCATGTGCCCTGACTGAGAATCGAACCATGACCTCCTGGTTCACAGGTCGAGGCCCAACCACTGAGCCATACGGCCAGGCGAACATTTTATTTCTTTGTGATGTGCATGTCCTATCACAGACAATTGGTCTAATGAAATGAGACCAGGTGCGCTGGTTACATAGTAAAACTTCAGAGTAAAAGATCATTTTTCAGTTTATTTTGGCCAGGACGCACCCCTGGCTGGGGCTCGGGTCACACTCCCGCTCGTGTCAGCCCTCCCAGCCCCGTGGCAGCAGCTGGTTCAGGACGCTGCTCTGCCTCAACGCCTGGAGCTGGGACGTGTCCTCACTGATGACGGTGACGCCCCTGCTCTGCCCTGGGGCCGACAGGTCGCCCTCGCTGTCGGACAGCGTGCACAGCAGGCCGTCGTTCTCGTAGGTGGGGAAGTAGTACCTGCAACACCACAGACAGGCCTCACAGACTGCACCTCACCCACAGACCGCCCAGGCCGCGCGGCTCCATGGGTTTCCTCGCCACAGTCTCAACGGCACAGGCTGTGAGGGAGACCCTTCCTGCCGCACGTCTTGCTAGGGTCCTCGCTGGTTTTCTACATAAAGACAAGCTCCCTGGGCCAGAGGCCGCCCCTCCACCTCGGGCCGCCGGCCAGGCAGCGCCTCCCCCTCCGGGGCTGAAGCTGACATCCCTCCTCCCTCCTCAAAGGCCCGCTCTCCCCACTGGGTAGCAGCCTTCAAATGCAGCTACTCCCTCACTCCATCCGCCAGGATCTGATGAGAACAATGGCCCAGCCCAACCATCACTGGTTCCTTCATTCTAGGAGATGATAATCTATCATAACAAAAGTGTTATATGCTAATTAGACCGGACAGCTGACGACCTTCCAGACGAAGCCAGGGCTGCGAGGGCCGAGCCTTACACAAATTTTGTGCATTGGGCCTCTAGTCTATATATATACAAGCCTAAGCAACCGTCTGACCGTTAGCCATGACATGCAATGACCACCAGGGGCAGATGCTCTGATCTGTAGCTATGATGTGCACTGACCACCAGGGGGCAGGCGCTCAATGCAGGAACTGCCGAGCTGCAGTGACTTGGCAGCTGCAGTTCTCGGGTGATGCACCCGGAACCAGAGAGGAGGGAGCCCAATTTTGGGGTGTGTCACCCAAGAACTGCCCTCTTGCAATCTGGGACCCCTTGGGGGATGTTGGAGAGCTGGTTTCGGCCGGATCCTTGCAGGCCAGGCCGAGGGATCCCACCGGTGCATGAATCGGGGCAGTGGGCCTCTAGTAATAACAACAACAAAGCTCTATGGATGTTTGTGGGTCATGCTGGGTCCTTGTCGCACCCGGTCAAACACACACCTGGGATTTGTGGGAAAGCCAAAGCCTTTGTGCTGAGGAAGAAAACCTGTCCTAGAGCTTCCTGGCTAGAGTTCTGGGGGATCTGATGGAACATCCCCGGGAATAGAGGGACCTCCACACAGCCAGAACCCCACAGCCTCTCAGGCCACCCCATTGCGGTTACTCACTCGGGCTGGTCCCAGGTCCTCCTGTCGGGGAGCAGGGCCGCGTGCTTGGCCTCCGCCAGGTGGGCACCCAGGTCGGCCCTAGATGGAAACCTGGTGCAGCAGCCGTAGCATTGGCCTTGGTGAACCTGCCGTCGGATGAAGTTGACCAGCTTCACTTGCTCATAGAAATTCAGTCCTGAGGGAGGCAAGTGCAGAGCCACCCATGCACTGTTATATACTGTTAACACAGGCCCACCTATAGCACACACGTGTCTACAACACACACACTTGTCTATAACACAGGCCTGTCTGTAACACACGTGTCTACAACACACACACCTGTCTATAACACAGGCACGTCTGTAAAACAGGCATGTGTCTATAACACATGTGTCTGTAATGCATGTGTCTATAACACACGTCTATAACATACACGTGTCTGTAACACAGGCACGGGTCTGTAACACACATACACATGTCTACAGGAGCACCAAAGCACAGTCACACCTGGAGGCAGGAGGGAGGCTGCTGTGTGCGAGGCGAGCTTTTCATGGTCTGGACCCATCAGTAAGCCCTACTGTGTGTTTAATGCCTGAATCTTTCTGTCACCATGACCCTGAGAACCAGGCATGGGCGCTTCTATGGTGCCGAGTCCAGCTGCACCCCAGCAGCATGAGGTGTCTTGTGTACGCCACCCACGCCCTGGCCCGTTCGCCCAGCAGGCCGGCAGCTGGACTGGGACCGCTGCTTGGCCTCTGGCAGACAGTGTCCGTTACCCTGGGTCCCGTGAGAAGCCGTCACATGTGCGGGCCAGGGGAAGGGACCACCTGAGGCCAAACCCGGCTGTGAACACGGAGTTCCGGCAGCGGGGGGACGTGTGCGGGGACGAGGTGGCCGTGCGCCTGCCGTCACGACCACGGAACCAGCATGTTCACGGCCGGCCGGCAGCGGCGCAGCGCTAAGTCCGACTCACCGAGCTCTGCCTTTGTTCTGAGGAGGTCAAATCCGTGCGCCTGCTGGAAGAAGGGATGGGGAGAGCTGAGCAGGGAGGTCCTCGATCTTCCAGCCGGTTCACAGGAGCCTCACACTGAGGCCCCGTCTCAGCGCATCGTCCTCGGCGTCTGACGTCTTGACATCTGGCTACTCCCCGACTCCACACAAGCCCGCCAATCAGGTGAACCCCTCACCCACCCGTCCTGCAGTCTCCGCAGTTCACTACGTGGGACGCAGCGTGTGAGAGACGTGCCTTGCGTCCCGCGTCGGGATAGAGCTGTGGACACGGGCTCTTCTCCACGCAGAGGTGCTCTGACACACTCTGCTCTTCCCTCCATGCTGTCCCTGACAAGCCGGCTAGTTTCTCCTTATGCCCTCTTCCCGTAAAGCACTTAACACGCTTCATGGCGCAGACACTTATTTTATTCTATTCCATCCCTGTCATGTCCATCGGGGTAAACGGCTGAACTTCCGAGCGCACAGAGTAAAGGCCACCTCACCCTGATCATCCAGGGGCCCACAGGCAGGACGATGGGGCTCCCTGACAGTCGTCATCCAAAGGGACTGAGCAGAGGGTGGGGGCTCGGGTCAAAGAGGCTGCAGAGGGCCCCCCACACAGGGCGGGACACAGCTGCTTCCAGTTCTAACACATCAGGCATTGTGAATTACATGTGCACTGACACGAGTGCACACAGGGACCAGTGCACACGGGGACCAGCGCACATGGGGATCTGAGCACACGGGGACCAGCGCACACGGGGACCAGTGCACACGGAAAACCTGTGCACATGGGACTAGTGCATAACCAGTGTACACGGGACCAGTGCACACGGGGATCTGAGCACACGGGGACCAGTGCACACAGGGACCAGTGCACACAGAAAACCTGTGCACATGGGACCAGTGCACACAAAAAACCTGTGCTCACGGGAGGAGTGCACACGGGGGTCTGTGGATCTGTGCTCACGGGACCTGTGTACACGGGGGTCTGTGGATCTGTGCACACGGGACCTGTGTACACGGGGGTCTGTGGATTTGTGCACATGGGACCTGTGCACACGGTGCAGAGAAGCTGCCGTCTGTTGCATCTGTGTGCGCCTGTGCCCTTCCTGGACCTGCCCTGTCCTCACTGTGCTGAGTAGTCTCTGACCAGGGAGCAGTGAGGGGGACAGGCAGCGGAGCTGCCCGTGGCACAGGTGGGCACGGGCATGTCCGAAATCGCACGGCCGCGCAGTCAGCCCTCAGCCCCGAGTCCAGCCATAGTGCTGTCCCGAGGCACGGCTGCCCTCTCTCAGGGTGTGTAGGGAGGGTCCTCCCCAACACGTCCTGGGTGGAAACAGGCTCAGAACCACTCGCTTCGAGCTTCTTTATAAAGAAGGGAACACACACACTGGGAATCTCTGCTCTTCTCTCCAAATCCTTTCCTGAGGAGCTGTAAGACCACACCTAGGCCCGCCCCCTCCCCTCCCCACCCTCCATGCCCCCAGGCCGTGGGCACGAGGGCGTGGCCTGCCTTCTGCTGGAGTGGAAGGTGCTCCAGGAACAAGGGTGTAACCTGGCAAGGCCTCGTGTGGTCGCCTCCCCCGCGGAGCAGAGCAGGATGAAATGAGCCGTCTCACCTCCATGTGGGCGCACAGCTGCTCCGTCGTTTCCGCTTGCTTTTCACAGAACAGACACACGGCGGAGACGGGGCACTCCTCCCAGTCCGACCAGTCCCTGTGCCCAGCAGAGAAGGCAGACCCCTTCGTTAGGGCCCGTGGTGTATCTCCCCGGTCCCCCGGAAGCTGCCCGCCTCTCCACTCCAGTTTTGGGGAGACTGTCTATACATCAATGCGGCTGATGCAGCCTCTGGCACGCAGAGCAGCCCCAGGAAGCAGCATGAGAGCCGAGCACCTGCTCCTCCGAGCAGCAACTTCCGAGGGCCCGTGTCATGGAGGAGGACATGTGTGGGGGTGCGGGGGACACGTGTGGGGGTGCGCTCATAAACACACCGCTGGGTGCATGCGCCCTGCTGGGTAGGTTTCCTCGCGACAAACGGTGTGCTTTGAAAAAGCACACTGTACCTTGTACTGGAAATAGTGATCGTTTGAAGAGGGGCAAGTTGGTAGATGGAGAACTCAAAAAGCATATCCCCCACCCCCCGTTTTTTACCATTTCCTCCTCTCCCTGCATTCATTTTTTGAAATACTGCCAACCTCTTGTCATTCCTACACCAGGACATCAAGCTCAGCCCTGAGGGAGGGAAACGGGCTGAAGGGCACTGATGGGAGCGAGGGTGGGGGTGGGGTGGGGGGTGTTGGGGGGCACAGGACCCTTCCAGGCTGAGGGCCCGCAGCTTGGACTTCCGGCCGGCAGCCATGTGTGTCCTCAGTGTCACCACTGGGCTGAGCAGGCAACTGTGAGCCAGTCATCTCCCCAGCCCGGAGCTCAAAGCCCATGTCCCGTCCCCCCCTGGGACCATGAGCCAGCCAGGCCCTGGGACAGCACCTCTCTGACATATGGCCAGCTTGTGCAGCCTGCGTGCTGGGTCAGCAGCGCTCATGACCACACCCCGCTTGGCGGGGACACCAGCAGTGCAGTGGCTTTAGGGAGAGTCCTGCTGAGCCCAGTTCTTGCCGCACCACATGCAAGGCTGCCTGGCTGAGAAGGTGTCCCCCTTCCTCCTGTCGTCCCAGGGGGCGTATGAGGCCAACTAGAGTCCCAGCATCCCGAACACCACCCCTCAGCAGCGACCCCGAGTCTTACTCTTCCTGCTGCTCCAGCAGCTCCCGGTCGTCTTCCGACTGAACCTCTTCCCAGGATTTTCCAAGTTCCTTTGTAGGAGAAACAGGGGTTAGGGAGGGGGGTGGGGGGGGGGAGAGAAGGCGGACAGACTTGGCAGCAAACCCACACGCAGCGTCCCACACACACTGTGGGGGTCCCACGGCTCTCAGCACAGGATGTGTCCTCAAAGCTTTCCATGTCCTTTCTCGTTGGAGCAGCAGCAGGCCCTCTCACGGTCTCTTCTCTTAGATGGAAGTAAATCTGTGTTTCTCAACCCTGGACGCACGTGAGACCCCCTGTGGTCGGTTTCCTAGGCAGGACGGCCCTTCCTCGTCCCCATAAACCCTCCGTCCTTCCCCATACCTGTAAACCCTCCGTCCTTCCCCGTCCCTATAAACCCTCCGTCCCTCCCCGTCCCTATGAACCTTCGGTCCTTCCCCGTCCCTGTAAACCCTCCGTCCTTCCCTGTCCCTATAAACCCTCCGGGGGTGTTGCACACACGGAGGACGAAATCCCGATCCTCGCCAGGGCCTCCAGGCTCCCTGCAGCCCACCACCTGCTCAGGTGCTCCAACCAGAAGGCCCTCCGCTGTCCCACACCACGCTTACCTGTGCATTCACCCGCCTACACGGCTCAGGCTGGTCTAAACAACGACACTCTTCCAAGTCACTTTTTATTTCTCTAGAGCAGGTGGGGGATGCCCTACCCCAGTAATGGCGAACCTTTTGAGCTTGGCGTGTCAGCATTTTGAAAAACCCTACCTTAACTCTGGTGCTGTGTCACATATAGAAATTTTTTGATATTTTCAACCATAGTAAAACAAAGACTTATATTTCTGATATTTATTTTATATATTTAAATGCCATTTAACAAAGAAAAATCAACCAAAAAGTGAGTTCGCATGTCACCTCTGACACGTGTGTCATAGGTTCGCCATCACTGCCCTAACCCTAACCCTAACCCTAACCCTCTGCCCCGAGCTGGCTGTAAAACGTCGGCCGCGAACCATGGCTCCTCTCAGTCCATCTTCACACATGCTAAGCCCCCTTCCAGGGGAACATATTCCAACACGGGTTCCACAGAACAGACAGAAATTCCACCCCAGAGCCGACACTGCCACACAGTCGGGACATGCTCCTCTGTCCACAGAACCTTCTGAGGCTGCGCCGAAATGCAAATCACTCACCCTGAAGGGAAACCATTTCCTGTGCTTGGGGAGTGCCAGACACAGCACCTTCCGTCCAGCCCCCCGACAGTTCCTCCCTCCCTGCACACAAGCAGTGCTTTTCCTAAGGTTATGTTCACCCACCAGCAGCAGATCGGGCAGGGGCAGTGGTCACTGTGCCAATCATAACCCCCATAAACTCCCCAATGCCCCTGATGACACGCCTCCCCCTGAGCCCCTTTTCCTAACCCAGAGGAACGGGACCTCAGGGGTCCGGCTGTGGGACGGTGGTTTCTGAGCGGGAGAGCTCTCAGGGTGGAAAATCCTTACCCTGTGACCCCGTGAGTCCGTCCTAAAAGCCACACACCTAACAGTCCTCTTGTCCAGTGAATGACTGAAATGACTTGGTTTCTCTAAAATTCCCATTACAAATAGGGCTTGGACTGTGCGGCTCAGTGGTTGAGCATCGACCTATGAACCAGGAGGTCAGGGTTTGATTCCCGGTCAGGGCACATGCCCAGGTTATGGGCTCCATCCCCAGTGTGGGGGCAACTAGTCAATGACTCTCTCTCATCATTGATGTTTCTGTCTCTCTCCCTCTCCCTTCCTCTCTGAAGTCAATAAAAATATATTTAAAAAAATAAAATTGCCATTAAAAATAAGCTGGCACAAGAGAATAATAAAGACAATTGTGGAGTGGGTGGGGAAGGGCAGGTTTTACCAGGGAAGGAGGGAAGAGTGAAGAGATTGTTTTGTTTTAAGGAGTTAGCTAGCACCGCCCCAGCACGGCCAGAGGCCCACACATACTCTGACCAGAGCACAGGGCCTCTGGCCTCAGGAGCAGACACAGGAGAAACGGGGGGAGCGCGTGCACACACACATGCCTCCCGGGCACTCCTGCAGGCGACAGTGGTTCTGTTGTGCTCTGCACACTCCCCTCCCCACGCCAGCGGCTGCTCGACATGCCGGGGACACCTGGCCTCGGCACCGCTGCTGGCAGTTGCGGACGCCCCGGCTGGCGGCCGTCTGAGGGAGCCATCACATCTCAGGCGAGGAGGACTCACCAAGTAGTTGATGACGTAGAACCGGTCGTACTCCCGGTTGCGGGGGTTGATCCTGCGGTGCTGCTTCTTCCGCATGTGGTCCTTGAGCAGGCTCCGGTCCCTGAAGGTCCTCTCGCAGTACAGGCACTGCAGGCTGCAGGCACAGGCGGTCAGGGGCTCCGCAGGCCGGGCAGCCGCTTGCTCACTATCCGGTCACGCGTGTTCATTCTAGGCCACTCCGCACCTTCCACCGGGACGCGCCCCCTCGCCGACCCCCATTTCCAGTGTCTGGCTAGGCAGGATGCGTGTTTATTTCTGCGCTTGCTAAGCTGGCTGTTTAGTTAAAACCGAAACAGAGGGCTAATGCCCCCTATTACTTAGGTGGTTTACTAATCAACCTGCCCCGGCTGCACATGCAAATGGAGGCCCGTTCTTCAAAGAACAACGATGGTAACGCGTGGCTGCGCTCCCCAAGGGCAGCAGGAGGCCCGTCGGGCGCCCTGAACAGGCGGGAGGACCAGAGCCTCCGTAGCGCACGTGAAGCTGAGGAACACACCGCATGTGCAGAGTACTTACTGACACGCTCTTAGGTTGGAGTGGGAAGTAAAGAAATGACACATCACATTCGGAACCGTGGTTTGGGAAGCGCTCCGAGGAGGGCGCGCGGAGACGGAACCAACCCCAGGCGCCCCATTTCTGAGGCCTGACACGAGCGTGCGCCTCCCAGCTCACTGCGCGCACCTGAGGTGGAATGCAGCGCTGGGGATAGGTGCCGTCTTCACTTAAAAACATCAAAGATGCCCTAATCGGTTTGGCTCAGTGGATAGAGCGTCGGCCTGCGGACGAAAGGTCCCAGGGTCAATTCCGGTCAAGGGCATGTATCTTGGTTGTGGGCACATCCCCAGTAGGAGGTGTGCAGGAGGCAGCTGATCGATGTTTCTCTCTCATCGATGTTTCAACTCTCTATTCCTCTCCCTTCCTCTCTGTGAAAAGTCAATAAAATGAATATATAAAAAAAACCCATCAAAGACAACGTGATCTGCACAGAATGAGACTTGCACCTGACAGAGGTCCTCCACCATGAAAAATGAAGAGTCCATTTCTGTAGCTACTTCAGGTCATCTAAGTTTTAAACATTCAACGAGTCCAGGACTCAGAGCTGCAGGCTGTGCTGCATGAAGTACTTACTTGTCCAGCTTTCTCTGCAATGTGCACAGGAATTCACCACAGTTCACGATGTTGTCCGGCAGCCCGATGTTGAAGGCATGCTCTCTGGCCATGTGGTTCAATAGCACAGATCTAGGAAGAAAGCTGAGCAGTTTGTATTATGTACAAATCACTCAGGAACAAGTCAGGTCAGCAAGAGCGTATGTATAAGGAGAAACAACCTAATAGAAGTACACGCAAGTGTTACCAAAACACACACCAGGCCATGGAGATAGCTAGCAGGTACGTGAGCCACTGTCAGGTTTCCCTCTACAGGTGAACTGGGTTTCTGTCCTTAAAACTACTAGACAAACTGCCTTCCTTTTCCAGCTCATCATGGGACCGGGAGAGACAGCTGCCCGAGATGAATGTGACGGCTGTGAGCTCGGGTCACAGAAACTTAGTGATGCTTTTTCCAAAGTGAAACACCCAATGTGCACAGTTAGCGTTAACGCGTTAACAGGGACAGTGTGTCTGCAGCCGTTTGCTCACGGTCCTCCTGTCGGCCAATTAGAAAAGGCATTTCCCTCCTCTGCTCACAGCAACGACAGTTCACCTCTGCTGTCGGGCATTTTTTTAAAAATCACTGCTGGTAACAGGCAAGGCTCCTGAGGGAACCCATGGGACTAACTGATATAAATTCTGACATCACCGATGTTCTGAGGAGTTTTCACATGAAATAGTCACGTTTAAAGACATGCACGATGGCAAACCTGTTCCCGAGGAATTCCTCATCGCAAAACATGCAGATGCCATGGAAGTTGTTGTCATTTCGCTCCCGCTGCTGCTGCTCCAGAATTTCTTTCTGCAAAGTAGAAGCAGATGCCTGATGAGACCTGGTAGGTGCACAATGAGCAATGCAGCATGGCCAGCCCGGATGGGAGACACTGGGTGCAAGCACAGGGGGCAGTGTATAGGGATGCGGACAGCATTTTAAATTTCTCCATTCCACTTGCATTTAACTTCCAACTCCAGGCCTGGCCCATGTGGCTCAGTGGTTGAGCGCTGACCTATGAACCAGGAGGTTACGGTTTGATTCCTGGTCAGGGCATATGCCTGGGTTATGGGCTTGATCCCCAGTGTGGGGTGTGCAAGAGGCAGCTGATCCATGATTCTCTCTCATCATTGGTGTTTCTATCTCTCTCCCCCTCCCTTCCTCTCTGAAATCAATAAAACTATATTAAAAAATGAATCAATAAAAATATCCTACCTAATAGACAAACATGGTAATTGACCATACCTTTGCTACACCTCCCATTGGCTAATCAGCAAGATATGCAAATTAACTGCCAACAAAGATGGAGGTTAATTTGCATATGTAGGCACGAAGTGGCGGAACAAAGACTGAAGTCGCTCCCGCCGGAGCAGCGACGGCTTGAAGGTGGCTCCGGCTGGAGCGAAGGCCTGGGTCCCGGGTGCCGGAGGAAAACCAGTGCCGGCAGCCAGGGGAAGGGAAGGCCTATTGCACGAATCTTTTTGTGCAACAGGCCTCTAGTATTTAAAATAAATTTCAACCCACATTGGCAAATGCTTGCAGACACTCCATTGAAGGCTGTGCACAAAACTCAAGTCCACGGCGTCTCACTGTCCTTCCCGACCTCGTCCTGCTCCCCCTTCAGTAGTCATCTCTGCTCCTCACCGTCTCTCAGTGACAAAACATGGTGGGTCTTTGACTTGCTCCTTCCTGTGGTCCGGTTTACTCTGGAATCAGGTTCTGATCAATTGTTCACTTGCACTACGGTTCCTGTTGCTTCTCTCCACTGTTCCCAGCGCCGTCGCCGAGGCCCTTTCCACCAGTCACTGTGAGGTTACCGTGAGTCGTCTC